TGTTGTTGTGGTTTGTCGGTTGGGTGGGGGGGAGGGGGGGGGGGGGTGGGATCAATCCTATTGCACTGAGAAAATTATTCTATATAATTAGGGCTGTCAAATGATTAAGAGATTACATTAACTACAAATAATCATATTAAGAATTATTTTTAAAAACTCAAATGAAAATAACTGATTTTGTAAGGCATTACATTTATTCTGCTGCTGTTTGAATTGTTCCTATGATAGAAAAAAAAATTATTTTCATATGGATCAGAAGGAGTAATTAATCTAATCATTTTGATGATTTTTAATAATTAATGTAATAATTTACACACTGAATTTCCCTAAAAAGAACATTTGCCATTCATCATAAATCAATTGAAACAAAAGTGAGTCTTTCATGAATCTTACAGTGCTTTTAGGCATGGTTTTCCAAGAACAAATAAGGTACAAATATGACACGTATCACAATTTTGTCCGACTTTTACAGAGATTCAAGAGAATCATCAATTAATTCTAAAAGACAAATGTTTTTGCATTGCTTTCTTTACTAGAGCAGAGACCACAGTTACCTGGAATAAGTTTGTCAGGTCCCATTCTATTGGATATTTCTGTGAACTCTCTGAGGATCTTGACGGCCTTCTTGGCCTCAGACTTTAGGTTAGCAGGAATAGGGTTATTCACTGTAAAAGAAACATCAGAAGAAATATAATTGTCTCTTGTTCTGCGTCACATTCCAACAATCTGAACCATCAAATGACTATTAGACTAAATTTGTCTGATAGTTTGCGTCTTCCTGAATGCTTTAAATTCTACTATGCGAAAACAATTCTCTTGTGGCATCTATGCTACTATGAACCTGAAATACGTTTCAAATGTCAAAATGATTTAAAGGCTATATGCTATATTTAACCACTTGTTGTTCAAGGTGACACCACAATGACCTGTTCCTCTATTATAAAGTCTCTCCATTTTAATATGACAAACTGTTAACAATTCAGTATCAAATGTCAGCATAACCAAATTGATAATTTTTCTCATCTCATTGATAATTGCACTAATTATATTAGCCATACAGTCAGTGATTAGTGTGTTAGCATTCATGCTGATGACTTTTTTTATTCAAGCCTTTCTACAAGACATGATGGCACTGATGCTGGTAGAATAGCATATATAAAGAGAACTAGCCAAAGACAAATAACAGTGTCCCCAATTTTTTTTTTTTTAATTTTAACTAAAACAATGCCATGTGGTGTAGCTATCAAGTAAAAAGTAACATATTTTCCTTTCACCTTTTGCAGACACCTTAATCATTATTTTTAGAAACGTTTTCAAATATATTTTTCATAGTTAAATTGTTTTTGTTGTTTTTTGGAAAATATAATGAATTAACAATTACTCAAGCATTAATATCAGCACTTTTATTTGCTATTTTCAAGAGCTGTTTGACTTAAAATATAAAAATGAATCACAAGCATGAAACTTATAAACATGTCCATTTAATATGCAATGTAATTCAAGTCACATGACATTTTTTAAGTATTTAAAAATAAATTATTAGATTTAAAAACTGAGTGCCATGTCACTTCATCGATGTATACTACAAAAGCATTCCTTTTAAATAGCACCACACCCTCATTTTGTGACATAGATGCATCACATTCTGCAAACTGATTTTTTAAGGATGAATCACTGGATATACCTATTGGGGTGATCCAGCACCCTTCTGCTACAAATGAGTGTTGCTGTTGGCAGGTGCACCCTTTCTGTGGTTTACTCAGGGAGGTGCTTGCAAAGCGTCACTTTAAGTCGCATGCAGACTTTCCAGTTGGAGAATTCTTTCAAAACAAGCCACAGCAACAGGACTATTCTCTTGCGCACCTGCTTTAATACAGTAATACCAGAACTGCCACCAATTAGGCCATTCTGTCCAGCTAACACTTCTCAAGACATTTTTGAGGAGACTTTGACTTTTGACAACACAATAGCCAATGATAAGTAATGACTTTGGCTACAGAGTAGGTAAAGTAACCAATTTAACATCCTTGAAATAGTCAAATGTTTTAATTATGTACATCTTTAAATGAATCACTCAAGGTTACTTGAGAAATATTACTTCATACAGTACTACTTTTACATAAGGTTCACTTAACCTTTATAAAAAACTTTTTAAAAGGTTCTTTATTGGAATCTATGGATCCAAGATGAAGTGTTCTGTTAAATGTTCCATTCCACAAATGGTTCTTTATATTGAAAAAAATGCTTTTCAAAATCTTCAAACTAAAAAATAGCTCTTTTAAGAAAAATTATTTGGGGAACCAAAAATGTTTCCTCCATGGCATCACTGCAAAACCCCCATTTGGAAACTTTATTTTAAGAGTGTAGGGTCCAAAAAGGGTAAAAAACAAACAAACAAAAAAAAACAGATACGGCTCATTCATATCATATCCCTATAGCTTGAATGTGCAGGACGAGTTACACACCACAGTTTATTATAAGGTTATGGTTTGTTCAAGTTCCTAACCCTAAGTCTGAGCAATAGTAAAACAGATTCTTGCCTTCACATAAAAACTACCCCAAGATCAGGACATCACATGAAAAAGCAGATGACTAACAACGAACTCATTCACAGTCACTTCAGATTATTTCCAAAGTAAAAAAAAAATGCACACGCACACACAAAATATGTTTTCACACATTAGGTCTGTTTGTTATTTGTCTGTATGATTTTTTTAAACTATCCACAAGATCATTTGTCAACATTAATTTTGAACCCATGAAAAGCCTAATTATTTATTCTGTATTAATATTATAACATGACGCAATGCTTTTTGGGTATACAGGCTAAACAAAAATTACCATCTGGGTCTATACAGTATTTCAAATAATTTACATATTAGGTTCTCATTATAAAAATACAGCATATCAATAGAAGATTTTTACCTAGGTGCTTAGGAAAGGTCTTTTAGAATAATCAAACTTATGCACACGCACACACAAAATATATTTTCACACATTAGGTCTGTTTGTTATTTGTCTGTATGATTTTTTTAAACTATCCACAAGATCATTTGTCAACATTAATTTTGAACCCATGAAAAGTCTAATTATTTATTCTGTATTAATATTATAACATGACGCAATGCTTTTTGGGTATACAGGCAAAACAAAAATTACCATCTGGGTCTATACAGTATTTCAAATAATTTACATATTAGGTTCTCATTATAAAAATACAGCATATCAATAGAAGATTTTTACCTAGGTGCTTAGGAAAGGTCTTTTAGAATAATCAAACATATATGTGTTTAAAAACATTATTAAGTATCAATATCAACACTGTTATTCTTATTTCAGTGCAGTTTGCATGGACTTATGCCACTTCAGCTCATCATCTTGTTTAATATTAATATTAAAATTGTAAAAACTTTACTTTAAATTATAATAATATTTCACAATATTATAGTTTTTACTGTATTGCTGTTTTTACTGTTTTGATCAAATAAATGCACCCTTGCTTGGTGAACCTTGGAAAACCTTACTAACACTAACCTTTGGAACGGTGGGGTTTATATTAATTCACAACTTTATATTTTAGCCTAATAACTCTGGATGTTTTATGATAAATATTTACAAAAGTACAAAAAATAAGTACAAAAGGCACAATGGGCCATACCTTACCCTATAGGATGTCTCTTAAATGCCAATTTGTTGTGGGAGTTTAAAAGGTTGCCAGCACACTTTAATGAGGTTAACCAAACCATTTGTAACATTTTGTACTTAATTGAACAGACTTCTACTTAGTACCCAAACATACAGAAACAGTAATCTGAATTTTTCAATTTACACAATTATGTCTAAATTATTAAAATAATTACATGTTAATTAAGAATTAAATGTTTTAAACTGACATGTATTAAGTGATTGATTGGCATTTTTGTTTAGTCCTGTAACATGTAATATAACTGTAACATGATCATTTGAATCTGACACAATAAGACTGGAAAATAGTTTATTGTAAACTTTCGTACAGATTTCTCCCAAGACATTCGACTGAAGAAGCTTCGAAGGTTTGTCATTAACAAAGCATGTTTTGCCAAACAGTTTGGTGGAGTTAATGGCAGGGTGTTGTTTATAAAGCCAAGGATGGGCATATATCTTATCTCTAATCTTATATGCATCCTTCAGCTCTGATGCTATAGACGCTTGAGGAGCTTTCATTGGCAGATACATTGTTACTTTGAACATTCTCAGATCATGTGCTCAACAAAGGTCCTCTAATCAGCTTATGGAGTTCTTTGAATGCTTCATGTCACTTTTCCGGGAACTTTTTCCAGCATATTACCAACTGAAGTGGGAAAGGGGAATGAGCATTAAGCCTAGAATGGCATTTTGTGGAACACCTATCCAGACAACTTGAAATTTGGCCTCCCAGTGTGGTTTTGGCTTCTATTAGAGCTGTCTCGAAGAATTGTCCTTCAACTTTGTAAATGACAAAGCACAAAATGTCTTTCTAAAGACATAAGCCTAAAATTCCTAGAATGCATTTATTTGGGGGAAAATCATAAATATTAGCCTAATTTAACAATTTCAATATGATGATGATTTTCACATCGCATATGGTAAAACATCAAAAACATATTAATATAAATATATTTGATACATGATATTTTTTGTAATATGGAATGAGTTTCATGATGAATATCTCAACTTCTCAAAATTTTAGACTAGATTATAAAGCAAACTCATATTGCAGTGCTGTTTCTCAGTTGCTTGTGTCACATTCATTGCATGCGGTTAAGCTGACGTGGAGGTATGAGTCACCAAATTTTGAACGGTTCATTTATAATCATCAGGTCAGATTTGGCCAGTTTTGTTCCTGATCTTTGGTTTTAAATTACTGCTCTCTGGCCATCCGTGTCACTTTATGCCACCAGTGGCTGTTAACACCGTATGCCTGTGACAAATTCCAAATCCTTATAACCTGTGTGCATTCAATTTCCTACATTATTAAGTTAAAGATATTCCAAAGTCTTTATATTCTTCTCTTGATGGTCAGTTTCAGTCATAATGGTAGATGTACCATTTGTTGCTTTGTACTCTTACTCTTACTTGGCCGCAGCCCAAAATTATAGTCAGACCAGCTAAACCACAGTGTTGGCATCAGGTAACTAGTGGGAGTTCCTAAGCAAGCAAGAAAGAGATACACAGGCATTACCTCAGCAGACTGATATAATTGCTTGCAATATGGCTGAACTTAACAACAGAAAGTTTATGCAGTAAACTTGGATGCTAGATGGTACACTGGTACACGCTTTTGGCAAAACAAGAATTCTCTTCATCTACTGAAATGTAGTGATTCTGCCTTTATTTTATGGGATGTTTGAACTATAATGTTCATGTAGAAAGGTAGGGCATTTCATAAACTTTTCTGAAATTAATCTTTCATTGTATCTCCTGTAAATGTTTGTTCTTAAGCTTGAGCACAAGTGTCAATAGCATGTCTAGACAAATCAAGTAGGAGAACTCTGTAATAGTAAACCAGAGATAATAGAGGGTTTTACCATGGTTCACTAATAGACAGCATACTTATGACATACATTAACTTCTAAGTCAAGTTGATGGGCTGCTGCTGCTTAATACCAAACTATAGACTTATATAGACTATAGAATGTATATACATATGGACTGACTGATTTGAACACAGTAAGTTAGATTGGACTCTAACTAGCTGTAATGATGAAATGATATACTTCCTCTGCTTAATGGACACTAACAAAATTTGCCGACAAACACAAAAAAATCCCCCTGTTTTTCCTTAACAATTTGAAATGTTTTCTTTTTTGCTTTTTATCCTGAGTAGAATGCCAATGCAAACATTATTTCAGAAGGCTGACACTTAAATGTGCTGTTATGACATCAGCTAAGAGCAGGGTACTGCTTTCCCACACCCTTAACTCTCAAAGGATGGATTTACAGCCTAAATGGAGTGGGAAACTATGAAAAGCAGCAATAGAATATAGCATTTATTAGAAATAAATAACTTAAAATTCAACACCCTTTAAACATTATATAACAAACATGTTTATTTAAAGGTCATATGTTATATATATATATACTGTATATATTTACAATATTTACAAACTGAACTCTAACTTAGATGTTTATACATTTGACAATAGCAATATTTAATAGCTTGAATGTATAAATACATAATATAAGACATTCAATATTAGCAAAATGCAATTCATTTTTTCACAGAATAAACTGCAACCAGCGTTCATCACTGCCAAGACATGTCTTGTAAAGACAAA